TGCTCATAACCATTCCCATCCCACAAGAGATCAGTCTCACAGAGGGGACACTCCGGATGGCCCCAGGGCTCGGGAGTGACCCAACTATGGTTCCACATACAGACGGGGGAAGAGGCAGGATCCTCAGGTCACTGGTGGGGAAGCGCTGGAGTGGGAAGCAGACAGAGGGGGGCCATACCCAGGGGCCACTCGCTGGGCCCACTGACCTGTGGACCTGGAGAAGAGGGACAATGGGTCTTGGGGGAGAAGAGGAAATATCTGAGTGGGAGCCAAAGGGCCAGGGGTGAGCCAGCACAGGGCACACCTGCACTGGGCTTCCCCTGGAAGGCTCAGCTGTCTTCGGGCTCTACCTCCTGGGGCCTGGCCCAGGCTTACCTTGGAGGAAAGAGGTCCCCTGACCCCTGGCACTCTATTACTGGGCTGTGGGCTGCTCACAAGTCACACACCATCACCCCTACACCAGCACATCTCAATGATCCCACTTCATTTATTACCAAAATATCACAGAATTCCAGTCATAGTTAACATACAGCGTTTAACACGAACCTGATACCTGTAGAGAGAACTGAGTATCTGGACAATTGAGTCGTTTGGAACCATAAGCCACGCCCCAAACCGCATCACTCCGTACTTCAAAAATACGCTTTTTTGAGAGCTTTGGAAACTGAATTAAAATGTCTACACAGCTATGAACAATTGTTTAATAAAACTTTTTCATGTTTCCATTACATGTAAATATATCAATTTGGCATCTCTATAAAAACTCTGAAAATGGTGCAAAAGTTTCATTCTCTTTGAGAAAGCCATTGACAAAAAATATTCACACTTCACTAAAATTTTGAAAAATGGTCTTCTTTCAAAGCTTCTTTATTAATCTGAAGTCTTCTGGGTTTATCAAAATCTAGGTTTGCTTTTTCCTCCTAAAACACTAAGGAACATTTATTCACAAGGATTAAAAAAAAAAATAAAAAGGCAATGGGGTGATGGAAAACTGATATGGGCTTTTCTTTTTTTGTTTCTGAAAATAATTTAAAAAGCTTAAAAGTTACATAAGCATCTTCAAAAGAACACAATGGGATTCATTTTATTGTTGACTTTTGGACACCAGTGTCAGACTTTATTGAAAACAAACCCATGTAAAAACAAAGTTAAAATGAAAAATGGCACCTGAAAAATAAATTATTTTATATAAAACAAATCAATAACTTAAAACACACTAATATACAAAAAGTCTAACCATCTACTGTACAACATGGGAATCGGTTAAGAGAGCCTCCCCCTCCCCCAAAGCAAGTCACTGTAAACGGAACATCACGTGGTCATGGTCAAAGAGGTGGCCCCAAACCAACAGAAAAGGCTTCCCTTCTGGTGGAAGAAAAATCCAGTCCTGTCAAAGTCTCCGTTAGCCTACATTAGGTACTGGCGGTGATTTACAAGCGAGAAAAATAAAAAAGTTTTTTAAATGGCCAAGAAAAAAAACCTTGAATTATGTCACTGAAAGGTTGTAGAAAAATAGGATACGGTCATCAGAGGTCAGGGGAAAATCAAAAGGTTTGGAAACGTGAACCCTGCCTGGGATTCGATATTCAGGTTCTATTGCCATTGTTAAGAACGTGCCAATTGCCAATGCCACTTAAAAGAAAGCACTTGTGACTTCAGGGCTGTCTTGGGAAGTTTGGGGACAGGGCCCCCCCCAGCCCCAGAGTCTGCTGAACCCTGGGGGGTCTCTCCTAAGGAGCTGTAGGTGAGGTAGGTCGGGGGAAGATGGGAGGGGACTGAGGTCAAGGGGTGAGTGGAAGGATGGGGGATAGAGGCCTTCTGTCAGCTGAATTCTTATTCTCTTTTCATCCAATCACAGGAAGGCTGCGAAAAGCACATGGGAATGAAACCGGGCTGAATCTGATGTGAAATGTAACAGCTGAAGAATGTCAATTTCAATTTTCAAGTCTGATGCCGGACTGGGTAGGTCATGTCTTTCCAATGCCTGGTGGAAAAATGGCCCTGGTTTGGAAGCAAACCGGGTAGAGGAATTGCCACTAACCGTCTTCCGGTGCTTCTGTTTCTCTGATCCAGCAGGGACCTCCGGGGCTGCCGGCTCCAAAGGGCCGGCCTTGGCTCCTGACAGCAGCACAGTTCAGTCCCTAGAGGCTGGGTCTCCAGGACTAAGGCCAAGTGCAGACTCTCAGAGGTTAAGGCAGCTGCCCTTGGCCAGGGAAAGGCTCACCTTCCAGGAGAAGGTGGCGGAACCCACCCAGCACCACCTGCGGGCGGGCCCCCGAGGAAGCCCATGAATTTCAGGGTATTCAAGCATGATGGTGGCTGGGGAGGGGACTCAGCACCCGGAAGGGAAATCAGTCACAGAGCTGTGACTAGAGGCACAGCCAGCACATAAAACTGTGGCTTGGCAAATTACACTGAAAATGAAGTAATGGCAGAGCCAAGGGGAACAAGGGAGAATTCATTTAGAAGCAGGTTCATAAATTCAGAGCTTCGTGGGGTCTAACTACCAGAAGTTACACAGGTCAAAAGAGAATTCAATCAAAGCCTCTTTGGTATTTATCAAACCAGATTTTTGATAAACGAACATTATCTACTCTGAACGCTTTTTCAAAATTCCCAAACAAAAGGAGAGCACTCATTTTTGCTAAATACAAATACGACTGATCTATGTAAAATGTTTTAACAAATGGGTTTCTTTTGGGTTGTGCCTTTTAAGAAAAGCGATCTCCCCTTTGCAAATAGGTCCTGATAAGATGTAATGCACTTTGAGGACACAGGGCCAGCAACTAGAACCTCGATGGGAATGAAGATTGCTTTTCGGCAGTGACAGTTCAAAAGCTAAATCCTTCCATAAGCTTGTGACTCCCAAAGAAATGCATTGTTTTTGTTTGTTTTTAGCTAGAAGGCTGTTCAGAGCGGAGACCACATGAAATGAGAATGTTCCTGAACTGAGAAACTTCAGGGAACTTTCAAAGGCTCATACATGTCACAGTTTCTTCTCACCTGTCCCAGCATCAGAACAATGGATAGGATTCAGACAAAAGGGAGCGAGGAAAGAAGCTGAGGTGCTGGCTACAGGCCCGTCATCATTTTCACAGTTGAAGCTTAAAACAGAGTTCTCTGTTGAATGCTAGCTATAGGCATGTTGGGGAGTGAGACTCGAGGACGAGTTTCAGAAGCGGGAATCCCACCTTCCATCAGAAGATGTTGGCCCGGGGAAACCTGAAAGGCTTATTTTTCCAGGAAAATGTTCTGGTCCCAGGGTGGAGAGTGCTCTGGGGCAACAGAGCAGGGACCCTCTTTTGTGTTGAATCCAGGCAAACAGGCCTTGGTTCTGGCTTTTCCTGAGTATCTGGGATTCTGTGGGAGGAAGGAGGTCCTCTGTGGCACCAGGCCAACTTTTATGAGACAGGGCCTGGGTATGGATGGCAACATTGTCAATTTGCAAGGATCGGGCACACAGCCCCTCAGTAAAAGATCAGGGAAAGGGGAGGGGATGGGCATCCTAAATTGTACAGGCGCCTCTCAGGACGCTGACCTGCTCTGGGGATGGCGGTGCCTGACTATTGCTCAATTTCCCACTTCAATAAATAAATAGACATAAATAAACAGATAAATACAGCCGTCATCTCATGATAGCAGTTACTAAAAAAACAGCCTAATGTCATGTTTTAGTCTTGCGTCAAGGTTAAAAACTGCTGGTACTAAGTTATCCTGTTTTTGATTCTCTCTGTACTAGTTATTGATAAAAACCAGATCCCAGTCCTGAGGAGTTTTGGGAGATCTGGCCCTGCCTATCTCACAGGCTTTCTCTTTTCCCCTTCCTCCGGGCTCCCGGTTTAAAAGCCACTAGTCTGTGACTGCACATTCCTGCGTCACAGACTCAGAAATGCTTTTGCTTGAGGCAAGTATTGGTTTCTTAAGATCTTATGACTCCTCCCTGAATGTTGGGCCGTCTGCACCTTCCCTAACCAAAAAGAAAGAAAAGGTAAAATAAAAAACAAAACAAAACTCGAGCAAAACAAAATCAAATTTAATGGTCTTAAATGCAAAAGTAAAAACAAACAAAAAACACAAAAAAGCAAAAGAAAATTAACAGAACAGAACAACCCAAAATGTCAAGGCAGTTATGAAGAGAACTTTGAGGGTTAATCTTTAAAACTACAAATCAAAGGTTTTGGTTAATAGATAACTGGCAAGAAGTAAGTACTTTTCTGCTGAGTGTTCATACAAAAGCAAAATTTCAAAACAAAATCCGACTAAAATAGAAAAAGGTCTAAGCGCTCACGAGAAGGGATGCGAGAAATACAATGCTCAAATGTTTCTGTGTTATTAAAAAACAGAGCCATCTTACGCCTCCAAGCTATGTTAAATGCTCTTAGAAACGGGAGAAATGGTCGTGAACAAGAGTATCCAATGTGGGGGGCGCCATGCATGCAATGTGTGGACAGAAACTCGGGGCGTCAGAGTAGCAACACATCTTCAGGCGTGCCTGGAGCTTAGATCTGACTCTGGAATATACTGGAGTTTCCCTGAAACTCTTTGGTCCGTTCCCATTGGTGCCTGGGCTTACAAAACACGTTTGTGTCCTTCTTTGGAGGGCCTGGCCCGGCATGTGGCCCCAGCCCCAGTGGTGGCCCACACTGGACAGGCCCGCCGCCATTCCCAGGACCACTCGGCAGAGCCCGGGACTGAGTGAGCAGGAGGTGGCAACGGGACCTGCTTGGAGAAGCAACTTCCTGTCAACCAAACCATACACATTGCTTAAAATGGTGAAGCGGTTGAGAAAACGCACACTCAGCATCTGTCTAACATCTTTAGATTCAAAACTAAAACTAAAAGGTGATTTTTTTTTTTTTTTTTTTTTTTTTTTGTTTTTTTTTTTTTTTTTTGCTACCCGGTCTGTGGAGACACTGAATGAAACGCATGTTAGACAGTCTTAGAGGTTAAAGCATGCTTCAGGTTCACCACCATCCAGAGGGACTGGTTAGTCAATGCAGTTCTACTTAGATTTCTGTTTAATAGATATCTTAAAGGAAATAACTTACGAAACTTAAGATTGGTCTAACATTGTGGGATTTCAAACATTTGAACATGTCGGTTGCATCCCAGAGTATAAAAACCTTCTCACTTCTCATTCAGACAAAGACAAACACTTGTGAAAATTGGCGCAAAATGAGTTGTACACTAACAAGAAAAGTTTCAACGCCTTCACTCTTAATTATCTATTCCGTACAAAAAAAAACATGAGCGAGTTATTTGTGGGACTTGTTGGTTTTGAAGGAAACCTGTAAGATCTTGTCCCCCAGGCGGTAGCCATTCAGGCTGGCTATGGCCATCGCGGCTTCTTCATAGTTTGTCATGGTCACAAAGCCAAACCCTTTGCACTTGTTGGTGTTGAAGTCGCGGATCACTTTCACATTGGTGACGGCGCCAAAGGGCCCAAACATCTGCCAGAGGATCCCCTCATCGGCGTCCTGCCCCAGGTTGTAGATGAAAATGCACCAGCCCGAAGAGGCGTTTCCGGGCACGTTGACACCAGAGAGCCCGCTCATGTGATCGACACCCATGGGGGAGAACCTGCCGAACAGAGAGCAGAGTGTCAGGCCAAGGTTGGTGCAGGTGGCCTGGGGATGGGGCTTGGCCTGGATGCAGGCTGACCATGGCCGCTGGGCCCCTTCCCGCTCTGTGTAGCCACGAGGTGCTCACGGTCGAGACACCTGCATGGGTCAAAATCATGACGTGGTTTTAAACTGGGAAGAATTAAATACGGTAGTGGAGGGTGGGACCCTGTTCTGTGGGGAGCTGACTCTGAGGGGCTGGTTGGCGCCCTCCACTCTTCCCACTGTGTATGTGGGGGGGCCTGTTTAGTGGTTTCTGCAGCTTCCCACAGTTTAGATGATGGGCACTTCTCCTGGTTCTGTTTTTTTTGAGATGGAGTTTCACTCTGTCATCAGGCTGGAGTGCAGTGGTTCGATCTGGGCTCACTGCAACCCTCACCTCTCAGGTTTAAGCGATTCTGCCTTAGCCTCCCAAATAGCTGGGATTACAGGCATGCAACACCACGCTGGGCTAATTTTTTGTATTTTAGGAGAGATGGGGTTTCACCATGTTGGCCAGACTGGTCTTGATCTCCTGACCTCGTGATCCGCCCGCCTCGGCCTCCCAAAGTGCTGGGAGTAGAGGTGTGAGCCACCAAGCCTGGCCTCCTGGTCCTCCTTTGAGGGTAAAAATACTCTGCAGGCACTGTGACAGCCTTAGCTGTCCCTGGAGGAAACTCTCCTCATACTGTGGGGGTGCGTGCAGGGACTGGAGAACTCCTTTTTCCAAATTTTGCACCTTCCCCTCATCATGACCCACCCCCAAGGGTTCACAGTCCAGTGGTCTCTGGTTAGAGTACATCTATGCCACGACCACTGCAGGCACAAGAATTCATTCCCAAGCACCAGGCAACCAACCTTCTGTGGCTGGGGCCCAACATCCCATGAGGGCCAGGGGCCAAACCACTGAGGGCTGAGAACTCAAGGGACAAGGATGGGCCCTGGGACGCCAGCAGCTGCAGGCTCACCAAACTTGACCACACACGTGGGGCTCTTTCCACAGCAATACTTTTATTCACATAAAAAACAAGCCTTTCTGGTCCAGGCACGGTGGCTCAAGCCTAGAATCCCAAGACTTTGGGAGGCCAAGGCGGGAGGATCACTTGAGAGCAGGAGTTTGAGACCAGCCTGGGCAACACAGAGAGACCTGATCTCTAGGAAAACAACAAGAACAACAACAAAACCTCAGAAAACTAAAACTAAACTAAAATAAAGCCTTCTGAAAACGTATAGATGCTGTAATAAGGATTAAGGTAGATGACAAAACAGTTCCTAAAGCCAGGCTGCCCTCTAGAACTTTCTCAAATTATAAAACTAAAGGTCTGAGGGTCAGCTTGGGAATATCTGAGTACCGCACATCTGTGAGGCCGGCATCTGTGAGGCCACACGACGCATACAGAGAAGCACTGCCTGTTCCAAAATAAAACTGGGCTTCAGGCTGTGGCCCTGTCAGCCAAGTGCAGCCCCTTCAGGCCCCAGCTGGGGTCAGCGAATGCCTTCAAGTGTCATTGAACAGATTCACCTTCTCGGCAGACACGAGAAGACACCAACCCCCAAAGGACAGCTCACTAGCCTAAGGGTGATTTTCTTTCTTTCTTTTTCTTTTTTTTTTTTTGAGACAGGGCCTCACTATGTTGTCCAGTCTGGTCTCAAACTCTGAGGCTCAAGTCATCCTCCTGCCTCCTGAGTAGCTGGGACCACAGGTATGTGCCCCCATGCTGGGCTAATTTTTACATTTTTTGTAGAATCAAGGTCTCACTATGTTGTCCGGGCTGGTCTCAAATTCCTCAGCTCAAGTGACCCTTCTACCTAGGCCTCCCAAAGTGTTGGGATTACAGGCATGAGTCAACGCACCTGGCTTTCTCAGGAATTATTCTTGTTGGTAGTTTTTCTCCTGCTGATTTCTTTGGTCTTGACAGTCATAAATCTTTACCCCTCTTTTCCTCCAACCCCAATTCTTTTCCATCCCTTATCTCTGGGCTTTTCCAGACGTGATAGGAACTGACTGCAGACTGCCTGCTGTCTGGGTCTTTCTTCCTTCTCTTCTCTCAGCCTCCTGTGGCAAATTCCCTTCTTTCCTTCCAGGCTCTCCCGTCCTTCCCGCTTCCTTCTATTACTTTGTCTTGGTGGTTGCCCTGCCACTCACTTTCCTGCTAGATCAGAAATGTCTGCTCCTCTGGTTTCCCCTTTCTGTTCTCATTCTCATTACTGGGACCTTCCCTGTTTTCATTCCAGGCTAAGGAATAGTTCACCCAATGCCATCACCCACATACCCTGCCCCATCAAGAGCAGTGCTGACTATACAATCAGGTTTCCACAGATGAATTTTAAAATTCAGCTCCATTCTGTCCAGAGGAGCTTCCCTAGCCTTATCTTCAAACCAAAATCATCAAGGCAGGCAGGCCAGCTTTGGAGCTTGAGCCAGGCTGAGAACGCTGGTAACTCAGCCATGAGAATAACACCTCACACCGCAGCATGTGTGGCAGTCGGCAGCGCCCACCCAGCCTCACTGTTAAAACAATCATGAGGCCAGGCTCATGTCTATACCCCCAGAACTTTGGGAGGCTGAGGTAGGAGGATCACTTGAGGCTAGGAGTTTACGACCAGCCTGGGCAACACAGTGAGACCCCATCTCAACCAAGAAAAAAACATTAAAAATAAAAATAGTGGGAAATCTGTTCTTGTCATACCTGAGATAAGCTCTCAGTGCCACTCCTTGAGGTTTTGTCAAAAACAAAACAAAACAGCCCTAACATTGAGACCTCTGCTGTTTCTGAGGCTGCGGCACACCTGCTCCTGGAGTTCAGGGCACTGACTCTCATTGTCTCTATCCCACTTGATCCCATAGCCAGAACCATTTTCAGGATGGAAGCACTAAGAAATCCAGGAAAACTGCCCCCCTCTAGGACAGGGCTTATAAACAGAATGCATTCATATAACATTCACCAATGCAAATGACTCCACAAGGCAGGTGTATGAAAAAGGTCTGCCTTAGGGCTGCTGATCAAATGTCTAAAAGCTTTGGAAGATCTGCTCTCACCTGAGTATACCTAAGGCAATGTCTTTTCTCCCACAGATAAGAAACATTCAGTATTCATTTTTTTTTTTCTTTTTTTTTGAGAAAGGGTCTCACTCTGTCACTCAGGCTGGAGTGCAGTGGTGTAAACAGTTCACTGCAGCCTTCACCTCCCGGGTTCAAGCGATCCTCCTGCCTTGGCCTTTCGAGTAGCTGGAACTAAAGGCCAGCACCACCATGCCCATTTAATTTTTTCATTATTTTTTGTAGGAACAAGGGTCTCACTTTGTTGCCCAGGCTGCTTAAACGCGGGGCTTCAAGTAATCCTCCCATCTCAGCCTCCCAATAGCTGAGGTTACAGGGGCACACCCCCACACTGGGCATGAAAGCATCCTTAAAGCTCACGGCTCCACGCTCCTGTTACTGGGAACTGCGCACGGCTCCATTCTCCTGTTACTGGGAACTGCGAACTGGAGCTCTAAGTGCTCACGCTCCCAGGAGCCAATGGGGACCAGTGCTGTATTTTTTTTTTTTAAAGACAGGTTCTGGCTCTGTGGCCCAGGCTGGAGTGCAGTGGTATGATCACAGCTCACTGCAACCTCAACCTCCTGGGCTCAAGCAATCCTCCTACCTGAGACTCCTGGGTTGCTGGAACTACAGGAGCACACCACTATGCCTGGCCAGTTCTGTATTTTTTGCAGAGATGGGGGTTTCACAATATTGCCCAGGCTGGTCTTGAACTCCTAGGCTCAAGTGATCCTCCTCTCTCAGCCACCCAAGGCACTAGGATTACAGGCATGAGCCACTTTGTACAGCCTGGTGTCACTGTTTTGATTCCCATGAAAAACAACACCTGGCTGGAAGTAAACGGCTTTCCTACAGACACCTTTCTGATGGAGGCTGTGGTGTGGCGCTACGGAATGATTCTGAAAGTGCTTTCTGATGGGATCAATCTAGCGTTCCTGTGGTTTCTATTCTGTGGCTGTGCAGTCGCCTGCCATCAGGGCTATGTGTGGCTTTCAGGAGTGCGCGCCCTCCCGACCCACCTGAATCTCTGCGCCTGGTGGTGAACGGGGCCTCCAAACCGTCGCGCTGGCGAGTGGTACAGCTGCGAGAGGAGTGCCACATTTTTGTTCTGGTTGGGATTGGCTGCAAACTTCACTGTGATGGGCTCAGAGGAACCTGGGGGTTTATGACCATTGAAACTGGTAATTGCCTCTTCTGCCTCCGACCGTTTGTCAAACCGGATAAACGCAACCCCTCTGGACAAACCTTTTTAACAAACCAACAAAAACGAAGTTAGGGGGAAAAACGCTAGGACTTTCAAAACTGAAAAGCAAAAGTCAGGTCGTCAGTCTACTGTGGGCCAGACTGGAAGTCTGGTTAAGGAAATAAAAATTAAACCTAAAAGTGAAAACAAATGGATGGAGTAAAGAAAATCAACGACTAACAGAAGATTAAAGTTTTAGACTTTCTTCCTGGTTGAAGCCATGACTCCAGTGTTGGCGCCCAAAGATATTTTGGTGACAGACATCCCCAAGAGACACCCGAGGCTCTTATTTGGAAAAAGGCGACATTAGGTAACAGCACATCCGCTGTCACTATTTAGCCGCCAGGTGCCCGTCATAGAATGGGTACGTGGATGTGCTGTGGGGTCGGTGGGTAACAGGGTTGGGGTGGGGGTTGTGTCTGAGAAATCCTCCCTGGGCTCTGGGGCCACCCACCTGGCTGCTGTCTCTGGGGCCCACTGTGACAGCGGGCCTCGTGGCTGAGCCTGCTGCAAAGGGGCCCAGCTTAGCCTGCGTGCCTTCTCCTTCATGCCAGGAGGGTGTAGAGTCCTGTGGCTGTCCCCTTGCCAGGTCTATGCTGCTGCTGTCCCCTCACTCTTGTCTTGGGATACTCCACTCTAAGGTCCTGCACCCTCCTGTGCCCCAAAGTACCATCAGAATCAAATGAGGCCAGAACACTGCTCAGGCTCGCACAGCAGAGCTGAACCTACCCACAGGCTCATCAAGCAGGCCTGGGGTCCCGGTGTGGGAAGGGCCAGTCCTGGATCCCTGGCTGAACCCAATCCTGGACAGAGGAGCATGAGACCAGAGGCCTGCCCTGCTGTAGGCGGCACTAGTCAGCCGGGCATGGGTGTGAGATGCCGAGCAAGGCAGACGGAAGGTGGGCATGGCTGCCCCCCACCTCTGCCTGTCCATGCACTAGGCCCGGGAGGGAAACATGAGTAGCACCATCCCTTGAGGAACCTGGGGAGCAGACTGGAAACTAGATGCAGCTGAGGGGGATGGGGGTGAGGGCACACTGGGCAGTGGACTAGCTCCTTCTCCTGGGGAGAGGGCACGATGAGGTCAGAGGAAGGCCCAGGTGGGAGAGGTGACAGCTGAGGGGCCAGTCTGAGAGTGATATCACTGGGCGGGAGTCATCGGTGTGTCCTGGTGGGAGAGGCTGCCGCAGATGGCCCAACCCAAACACCCTGGTTCTTAAGACTTTTAGTTGAGCCAGGCCAAGGTTTGTGCCTGTGGTCCCAGCTACTCCAGAGGCTGAGCCAAGAGAATTGCCTGAGGCCAGGAGTTCAAGACCAGCCTGGACAGTATAGCAAGATCTCACCTCTTAAAGAAAAAAAAAAAAAAAAAAAGACTTCTAGGCAAAGGGTGTCCTAAGTCAGGTTTCCTTTCTAGGTAAAGACCTGTTGTGCATGGTAAAGAACAATGACCAAAGCCAGGCAGCCTGGGGCCTTGGGTGACCTGTCCAGCGGACACCCAACTGTCCCCATGTCCGGTCTCCACGTCTCACCTGGCACCTTACTCCACCACTTCCCAGAGGGTCCCGCCAGCTGCCCCACAATCGCAACACCTCAAGCCCCACGTGAGCACACAGATAGCACCCTTAGTAAGGTCACACCTAGTGCTATGCACATGTGCCAGGAATATTCTGGGGCTCAGGCCCATTTCTGAGCTGCTGCTCAGAAGGAACACCTGAAAACATAACCCTGGCAGATGCTGCTTTCATTTATTCTCACACGACATGAATGACGGCTTAGTCAGTCTTGGAAACCTAAACAAAAATCTAACTTTAGGCAAATACAACTGACAGTTGACGCTGGCTGGCTCTTAGGGAAGCTGGCTCCAAGCAGATGGCATCATTCTGTTTCTAAAGACCTTGCAGCCCAGCAGAGAGAAGGCATGCATGCAAGTGTAGGTTCCTCGTCTCGTGTTGTAGAGTGCCTTTCAAATGCAAGTGAAACAAAGAAAACTCGAGTAAGGGGGGCCAGGAAGGATGCTGTTTAACACAGGGAATAGCAATTCACTATATTATTTTTTTCTGAGACAGGGTCTTGCTCTGTCACCCAGGTTGGAGTGCAATGGCTCAATCTTGGCTCACTGCAACCTCTACCTCCCAGGTTCAAATGATTCTCCTGCCTCAGCCTCCCCAGTAGCTGGGACTACAGGCGCCTGCCACCACGCCCGGCTAGTTTTTATTTTTAGTAGAGATGAGGTTTTGCCATGTTGGCCAGGCTGGTCTTGAACTGTTGACCTCAGGTGACCTATCCACCTCAGCCTCCCCAAGTGCTGGGATTACAGGCGTGAGCCATTGCACCTGGCCACAATTCTCTATATTATTTAAGGAATGTATACTTTCTGAACTTAGCTCTGCAATTTTGGTTTTTGTTCTCCCAGTGTTTTTTATTTTTTATATTTAGTATTTTTTGAGATGGAGTCTCACTCTGTCACCCAGGCTGGAGTACAATGGTGTAATCTCAGCTCACTGCAACCTCTACCTCCCAGGTTCAAATGATTCTCCTGCCTCAGCCTCCCCAGTAGCTGGGACTACAGGCGCCTGCCACCACGCCCGGCTAGTTTTTATTTTTAGTAGAGATGAGGTTTTGCCATGTTGGCCAGGCTGGTCTTGAACTGTTGACCTCAGGTGACCTATCCACCTCAGCCTCCCAAAGTGCTGGGATTACAGGCGTGAGCCACCATGTTCAGCCTCCTTGTGTTTTTAGAATTTAATAGCAAAGTCCAAGAAATGTCAAAATCTCCAGATGAATACATTATCTTTTTTTTTTTTAAAAAAAGAGTAGGGGTCTCACTATGTTGGCCAGGCTGTTCTAAACTGCGGTCAAACCATCCTCCCACCTTGGCCTCCCTAAGTGTTGGGATTACAGGCATGAGCCACCACGCCCAGCCATCCCCATCTGTTTAACACTAAAAAGCCCATCACAGGAAGGCAAACTTCACACGCTGGCCTGCCACACGCTTCTCTTCCCTGCTGCCCACCGTGCACCTCATGAGGTCCCAGCAACAAGCACCCTCTGTCCCCAGCAGAGGGAGCCACAGCCCTGGGACTGGAGCCTCACCTTCCTACCAATTCTGTACCATGGGGTAGGAAGCAGGGCTGGGGAGACCCTCCTGGCTCCCTTCTCTCTGCTTCCCTCACCCCCCTGCAAAGATGCCAAAGGTTCCTTCCGCCACCTTGAGTTTCACAGCAGATGCTGGGGGGCAATACTGAGATACCCCCAACAGCCTGGGAGACACAACCTTGGAGAGGGAAAGGAGACAATGTCCCCAGCAGCTGTGTGCAGAGGTGTATTCCCCCAGCCTATAGCCTGTGTGTGCCTGAGAGACTAAGGATGGTCCCAGGAGAGTTGGGTGTCTGGGGGCGTGTTCTCAGATGCTAGGGCTCCGAGTGGAGAGCAGGATCCCCTCATCGGGGCTGGGCTATGGCTGGAGGGGAGTGGACTGTGGGCCAGTGAGGTTGGCTTCCCCGGCCCTGGGCCCTGGGCAGCCAGCTCAGATGCCCCAATGCGGAGCTGGGGGCAATGAACCCATGCACTGGTCCAACAGGATCGTTCTCTTAGCTGGCACTTCTAAGGTAAGTGAGGGGACTTCAGGGACCACAGGACTCTTCTGGTGCAGACCAGGGGAGTTTACACCAAGTAACTGTAACTGGCATTCCCCGACCCTCTTCCCAGAACGAAGGAAGAACAGAGGAGGCTGTGTGAGCGAGCCCTCTCCTTCAGCACTGTCTGGTGCCAGGGCACAAGTCTGTGCTAGGCTATGCGTGGTCCCCAAGAGCCCCCATGACGTGCACAGTGGCTGCTTCCCTTCCTCGGGCCCCAGTGGGACTGAAGGCTGGCAGCGGCAGGGCCAGTGCACACTAGGTGGGGTTCCCACAGCCAGCCGGGAGGAGGGAGAGAGACTGATGAGGCTGCCCACCCCAAAGCATGCAGCTCAGGGGAGGGAGGACAATGTGCATGTCCCTCCACCCTGCAGGCCAGGAAGGCCCCACCTGTGTTCGAATGACAGGTGAGGTTCTGGGCTGCTGGAGGAGCACTGCTGTTCTCTCAAAAAGAGGTCATCTCAGAGCATGACTTCCTGTGGCTCAACTACTTGGTGTATTTGAACACCACAGTCAAGGTGGGAGGAATATGAAAACCACTCACACAACGCCCAGGCCTTGCTGGGCTTGGCGAGCGGACTCTTCCCTCCTGGTTGGTCAGCACACTCCCACTCCTACCCCAAACAGAGCTGAGCGATCTGAAATCCCCTCAGGGTGGCCTGAGCTCCCCATCCCCAAGGCAGGGCCGTGTGCAGGGCTTGGCAAAGGATGTGGTGGTGCACTAGTTCCTAGCCTAGTGGGGCAGGTGGGCCAGGCAGTGGGTCGGGAGCACAGCTGCAGGTGCGGGCGTGTCCCCAGTGCCTCACTGCCTGATGGCGTCACACAAAACCCAGAGACCATGTTCAGTGCCGAGACAGCCTGGGCGGGGGGGGGGGTGGGCAGTGAAGTGGTCAGGACTGCCCGTCCATGAGAGGAATTCACCGCCGTGTGTTCTGCGCACTTTAGATGTGCTCCCCAGAGAGGAGCATCTGAATTCTGGGGATTTGGGGCCATCAGACTACTGCACCCCAAACACCTGCAATGAGAGCCACAGTGGACAAAAGCACAGCAGCATTTTTTTTTATCTCCAAGAAACAGGGTCTTGCTCTGTTGCCCAAGCTGAAGTACAGTGGCGCGATCACGGCTCACCACAGCTGTGAACTCCTGGGCTCCAGCAATCCTCCTACTTCAGGCTCCTGAGCAGCTGAGACGACAGGCCTGGACCACCACACCTGGCTGCAGTATCCAATTTTTTTTTTTTTTTTTTTTTTTTTTAGATGAGTCCGACTCTGTTGCCCAGGCTGGAGTGTACTGGTGTGATCTCGGCTCACCGCAACCTCCGCCTCCCAGGTTCAGGCGATTCTCTTGCCTCAACCTCCCAAGCAGCTGGGATTACAGGCGCTTGCCACCACGCCCGGCTAACTTTTGTATTTTTAGTAGAGATGGGGTTTTACCATGTTGGCCAGGCTGGTCTTGAACTCCTGGCCTCAGGTGATCCACCCGCCTCAGCCTCCCAAAGTGCTGGGATTACAGGTGTGAGCCACTGCACCTGGCCTGCAGTGTCCTTTTCACCCCATTCATGGGCGAGGCCAGGACATTCACCTGCCTGAGGGAAGGTGCGAGAATTTCTTGGTGTTTCACCGCACATGAAATGCTGGCCTAATCCCCAGCTTCTTTTAACGCCATCTTACCTCCTCAAACCAATGTCAACTTTTCTCATTTTGGTACTGTCCTCATTTGCAGAATAACTAATGATATTTAAAATCAAACGATGATCTGCCTTCCCTAGACAACCCAGTCCTAGGGAATACCATCCCCACATGTCTCAGGCCCCTGCGGTACCTGTGGTCTGATCCACGAGGACCCTTGAGTTGATGATCCGCCCAAACCGAGAGAACATGTCCTCTACGTCCTTCTGGGTCATGGTCCGCGGGAGCCCACTGATGTACAAGTTGGCATCTTTGATGACCTCTGAGCTCGGACGAGCGTACGACACCTTGAAAACACAAACGCTTTTTGGGATTAGGACAGGCATGTGGCCAAAGCACTGAGGAGGGTGCTAAATTTTGGGGTTAGGAGAAGCCAACATTGGGGGTTAGAAATCACACAGGGAATGATTCTCGTTGCTGACGCTCACCACCTGCAGCTGCGTGGTAGCAGCTCACTGCAGGACAGGCCGTGAGCTGGGGTGTCTGGAGTACTTCCTTACTGGGTGTTCTCCATCCCCAAGGAGGCAGGCATGACTCCCATGTCACAAAGCCCAACTGAGGGACCACAGCTGGTAGGTGGTCACCTCTCTGACCTCTCTGATGTGCTGGACAATGAGTTGGTGCTAGAGATAAGACCTGGTGCCTGAAAGAAGCCAGTAATACAGCGGGCCAGCAAGCTGGGAGCTGCTGGGAGCACACGAGACTCCCCTGCCAAAGAGCAAGCTTGCCACAAAAGCCCTGATGGGGGCTGTGAGTTCTGGGAGGACCCAGAGTTTGTACTCAAATCCACTTAAGTGTACACTATTAAACGACTCAATGCCTTTTGGATTTCTATTTTGCAAAATTGAAGAAAACTTAAAGAGAACCTTCTGGGTGCTTTCACAAAATGGCACATTCATCATTCATGTGTGGAGGGTGGTGAGGGGAGCCCAGAGGCCAATGCAAGAAAAGGTCTTCGGTGCTTTCCCAGGTTGGCGCTGATGGCCTTGCAGACCCCACGGCCCAGAAGGAGAAAAAGGACAAGGGTGGAACCTTTCTGTTTGTGAAAGGGCAGTCTGGCAGGACTCTCAGCCGTCAGAAGGTTGGAATATGGAGGAGGGGGCAGGAGCCGTGTGCCCAGAAAGGGTGGGGACTTGAACCTGTGCAAAAGGAAGTTCATTCCCTTTGAGTGAGGGGCACAGAACTGATGAGCCAAGGTGACTGAGGCCAGAACACGGGGAGAAACCGCCGCTCAGGAGTCACTGGGCAGAATCTGTGTGCCCAGAACACACAGGCAGCATCCTCTGAGAAGCTCCTATCATGTTCCAGAGAAAGAACGACAGACATTGCCCCTGCTCACAGGGCAGCGGGCAGCCCAGCAGGAGAGCACGAGAGCCCCACGAAGAGAGGAGTGGTGGGGCTGGAGGCCAGCTCCACCCGGCAGCGGTGGGAATCGAGGGAGCACGTCACCATGGGGCCCATGAGGTCTTTGGAGACACCATGCTGCTCCCAGGCCTGGGGTACTTCCATCAGTTTGTGGGCAGGAGCTCTGGGGGGGGGGGGCACTTGGTCACCCTGTGATTTGGCTTAGGGGCTGCCAGTGCTGTCCTCAGAGAAAAAGAGGCTGCCTTGGCCCCCAGCCTCCTCTACAGTGTCCAGGCCTGCCTTGGCTCTCTGCAGACCTGTCTGGACTGGGCAGTATTTGGGGGCCTGCCAAGCCATCACCCTGGTGCCGGTGAAGCGGAGCCGAGGCTGGCACTGACTGGACCTATTGACGTGCCTGGATGAAGCCCCAGAGGAGAAGTGCCCTAGAGCCAAATGCTAGGGAAAGCTCTGATGCCTCCCAAGGACAGGTGTTTCCAAGGACCATGGGAGCTCCGCTTTCCTCTTCTCTCTAGACACTGTCACATTCAGTCAGGCCAGATCAGCGCAGCTGGTGCACTGTGGGCATGCACCAACCTGGGGCTCCCCGGCCCCTCAGCCAGAACGCTCTTTCCTAAGCTTCCAACACTGCTTGCTCTCTGGCGTCAATCAGGTCTTTTTCTAGCTGCCCATTCTCGAGAATTCATTCAGTGAGGGGTTCAATTGTGCTCCCCCCATCAAAATTCATATGCGGAAGTCCTAATACCTCAGGACCTCAAAACGTGACCTGATTTGGATACAGTCATCGTGGATATAATCAGTTAAGATGAGGTCACACTGGTACAGGATGATCCCTAATCAAATGTGACTGGTGTACTCATAAAAGGGGGAAATTTAGGCCAGGTGTGGTGGCATAGGCCCGTAATCCCACTGTTTTGGAAAGCTGAAGTGGGAGGATCACTTGGACCCAAAAGTTCAAGACTAGCCTGGGTAACATGGCAAGACCGCATCTCTACAAAAAATAAAATTGGCTGGTCATGGTGGCGCATACCTCTAGTCCCAGCTACTTGGGAGGCTGAAGTGGGAGGATCGCTTGAGCACAGGAGTTTGAGGCTGCAGTGAGCCATGATCGCACCACTGCAGCCCAGCCTCAGTGACTAAGTGAGGCCCTGTCTTAAAAAAAAAAAAAAAAAAAATTCCATTTAGAAAGAGGGGAAATGTGGATATAGGCACTCGCACAGAGAAGTGCTGGTCGGAATACCCTCATCCCTGCCCTGGCCTGCAGCGTGAAGATGGAGGCAGAGACTGGGGTGACGCTTCTATAAGTCAAGGAACTCCAGAGACTGCCAGCCTCCACCAGGAGCTGTGAGAGGGGCCTGGGACAAATCCCTTCCCAGCGCCTTTGAGAGAAACCAACCCTGCCGACACCTTGGTCTTGGGCTTCCAGCCTCCAGAACTGTGGGTCAACACCTTCTGCTGAAACAGCCTGGCCTGCAGTGCTTTGTCATGGCAGCTGAGCTAACTCCTACCCTTCCCTGGCCACTTGGCTTGCCATGGATCCCTCCACTCACATCAACACCGAGTTCCTCCTGTCCCCATTTAGTTCTTGACTGCATTGATCATGACCTGACACACTATGTATTTGACTTTTTAAGTTTTTTGTGGAGGCAGGGTCTCGCTTTGTTGCTCAGGCTAGACTTGAACTCCTGGACTCAAGTAATCCTCCTGCCCTGGCCTTCCAAATGGCTGGGATTACAGGTGTGCACCACCCTGCCTGGCACCTATTTTACTTATGTAACTTTTAACTTTGCAAACAGACTGTGAGGCTCAGACTTGTGTGTTTCCTGCTGTAACCAAAGCACCCACAGCAGCCTCAGGTGAATGGCAGGCATCTGGGGACTACCGCTGCATGAGTGGAGTGAGCAGGAGCTGCCGTTGTTAAGAACGCCTGCCTATCTGCACTGCAGTCCCCAGCGCTGGCTTCTGTGGGTGACAGGAGTTTTGCTGTTCTGGTTCCTGAGGTGTGGATTTCACAAAGTGCTGAGGAAGCCTCCAGGTGACAGCATTAACTGCCTATAGCCATATATAGTACCCGGTTTCACACCCTGGCTTTGCTCCTCCATCCCTCCGTGACCTTGGCAGAGCTGTTTTACTACTCAAAACATCAGCTTTTCCACCCAAATCTGGGGATCAACCTTTATGTGGCTGTGAGGAGGGCACGTGGGATACTGGACGGAAGGCCTGGCCCACCGTCGGCCCTTGGTAAGCACTGGCTGTGTGTGGCACACAGGGACCCAGCAGTGAGGCAGAGCTGTACACAGACACTCTGCAATGTCCTGGCAGGGACACCGAGCTGCATCTGGGCAATGCTCAGCCTGTCACCTCCATGCAGGAGCACTCCCGCTGTGGCTGCCTGGGCTGCTACTATGGGAAAAAGACTAATAGGGATGAGGAGACAGGACACCTCCCTCTCGACTCTGCCACCAAGGGAATGACATCAGGACCAAGAGAACAGAGTAGACAGGGTGAAGGCAAGGGTACATCTGGGCTGTCTGTGAAAGGTTGGGGCTCTGAGAAGCCCTACCTGCAGGGAGGAGTGGGGCAGAGGTTTGGGGCCAGCCTGTGGTTTCTGTGCCTGGGTCTCCTCTAGGATGCCGCCCTCGCCCTGTGCCCCTGAAGGTCCTGCTGCTCGGAATACCCTCATCCCTGCCCAGGCCTAGCTAACTCCTCCTCCTCCTGATCTCAACTCTGGCTTTCTTGAGGGAGGCTTCCCTGGCACTGGCCACTATTATAGGCTCCCTGAGACCATCCTGGGGCCGCCTAATAGTGAATAGTGGGTACCACTGGGCTCCCTGAGGGCAGCCACAGGCCAGGGACCCCCAGCACCTAGCAGAGGGCTTGGCCCTAGCCCATACTGTCATAAAGGGTTTGTCTGGGGGTCCTAAGGATTGTGATAAAGGATTGTCTGGGGGATTTGTCTCTGTCCCAGATTCCTAGGAGGGAGCTTCTAAAACTCCTAGAATTTCTGTCTTTGTTACTGTGAGGACTTGGCTCCCACTTGTTTGCACTAAGTGATGGACCTCAACACCAGAAAGACCAAGCATGTGACTAGAGGGTTGAGGTGATACTGGTCTGACCTCCAGGGTGGGGGAGGGGAAAATGGTGCTGGGGATGGAGTTCAATCACATGGCCGAAGACTCAATCAATCATGCATTCACAATGAGAGCCCAGTAAAAACACTAGACACCAAAACTCCGTGGAGTCTCCTGGTAGGTACACAAGTCACATGCAGAGAGGGCGAGGCACCTGAACCCACTGGGTGTGGCCATACGAGCTCTGTGCTTGGGACCCTCCTGTGTGGCTCTTTGTTTGGCAGGCCCTGAGTTGCAATCTTTATAAACAAGCTGTCAATGGAAGTGTGAGTTCCAGGAGTCATTCTAGTGAGTTCACCCTGAAAGAGTGGCGGGAACTTCTGAATTTGTAGCCAGTTGGCCAAAAGTGCAGGGGCCTGGGGACCCCCAAAGGGCGACTGGCATCTGAGGTGAGGATGGTCTTTTTGGGGACTGTGGCCTTAAAAGTGCAGGGGTTGTGCTAACACTGGGTGACTGGTGTCACAATAGAACTGCAGGACACCAGGTGACATCAGATCAATACTGAATAAAAAAGTCCAGGATGAACTGAACATACATCTCCATCCAGGCCCTTATCACGCTGCACAAATGAGTCACCCTTAAATTGGGGAGGGCAAGGGATCCGAAGTCCCTTTCCCTTGGTCTCAAGGTAACTGGCCCAGCATTGGACACTGGCCAGGGGCTCAGTAAACGTTTGCGGAATGAATATGCTTGAAGCACAGAGGACCCCAGGGCCATGCCAGAGGAACTGCCAGAGAAGCCAGGCCCGGACAGCCTCGGGGAAGCCCCAGGGAGAAATGACTAAGGACTGTCACATCCCCTCCAGGCTGGCCTGTTTCTGCAGAACTAGGACAGTGGTGGGAAGTCACTGAGAACCAGATTCTGCCAGCAGAGGGCAGGGCTGCTGAAGGTGAGTCAGGCTTCTACACACATGGCTGGGATGACAGGAAGGGACATCTGTCCAGGCCTGGGACCCTGGGGTCCTGCATGGCTCTGGCTTCAAACTCAGGCAGCCACTCCCCAGTCTTTCCTATCAACTTCAATCCTAGAGAGGCAAGAGAGTCCTGTTGACACAATTGCATTGGCATCCAGCTCTTGCATTTGAGTAAACGGAACCACTGCACAATAACCAACTGTTCTGCTCCACACCTCAGCCTGGCTGCCTCAGAAACAACCTTAAAATATTTTCTAAATGGAGGAGAGAACTCCTAGGAGATAGGGAGTCCGGGGCCAAGGATCAACCACCGGGGGCTGGAGGTGAGGAAGAACTATCCCTGCTCAGGTGGAAACGCATGGCGCTGGGCTGCCCTCACCAGCCCCTACAGTGGAAGGCACCTTTGGGGACCTGCGCTGGACACGAGGATGCAGCAGCGGTGCACCTGCCCTTTGGGAGCCCACTGCATACCACGTTCATGCTGCTGGCACAGGGTGGGTCTGGGAGAGCTGCTGCTGAGCAAGGGTTTAGCCACTGAGTAACCAAGATCATGCGGCAGTCTGAGGGCAGGGACAGAGGCCACCTCTTGGCTGAAGGTGCTGCCACCACCAGGTAACAGGACCCTTCCTGGTGGGCAGGCAAAAATCCAGGCTCCCGGGCCTGCCCTGAGGTGACTCAGGAGGCCCCTCTGCAGCCTGGGAATCTGTATTTTACAGCTCCCTAGGGAGCCCTGGCAATCAGATAAGCTGAGGAAGCACAGCCTCAGTGCAGGTCCAAGAGAGACCCTTCTGGGCACCTGATGTGATTCAGGGAGCACCATTCTCTGGGGTAGGGTCATCTAGCAGATCTAAAGGCTCACACAGGCCCACCACATTCCAAATGGCCTCGGAGAAGGAGAGGGGATTCTGGCCGATGAGCCCGCATGTCCATGGGCACCTTGTGAAGGCAGGCACTGAGGGTGGGTGGGCACAGTGGCCCCTGCAGGAAGCCCGGTCGCAGGGACCTCTGCCTGGGGCACAGGAGGCTCAGGGAAGGCTCAGCAGCTCCCAGGACTGACAGGAGACCAGGGAGCAAAGGTCGGGAAAGAAATGAGGCTTGATTTGGGTGGCAGGAGCTGCCCACGATCAGGGGAGCCAGAAAGCAGACACTTGGGGACGAGGGGGATGTGGGGCTTGAGGCTGACAGCCCCAGTGTATGAGGGAGTGGGTCAGATAATGATGACAGAGGAAATCCATCTGTGTAACCTAGAGGAAGGACCTGCTGACTCATCCCAGGAAGGCACCACAGCCCTGCTGGAGGTGCCACCTCCAGGCTGCTGCAGTTGGCTTCCACAAGTCACCTGCTGCTGTGAAGCCTCCACATGTGGCACCCACCTGTCACACGTGGCTGTCCTCTTTCTTGTCTACTGTCTGCAGCCCCGACTCATGGGGGCACTGAATTGGCCTGTTTTGGTCACTGTGGGGCACACAGTAGGTGCTGAGTAAATGCTGGTTGAACGGGCAAGAGGAGGGTTACAACAGGCCCCAAGGAGCTCAGAGGGAGCACTGTGCAGGCTGAGGGTGGATGGAGCTGCCCGGGGATGGAAACACAATGAGCCAGGCAAGAGAGGCAGTGGGGGAGGCCTGGGAGCTGACGCACCCTAGGGACACCCTGGGCGGGGAGTGGGCCCTGAGCCACCCATGTGAGGCCTGGGACGGTCACCACCTGATCAGGGTATCTGATGGGAGCCCCCAAGGAGCGGCTGTGCTCACAGTCCCCTGGAGAGAGACCGTGAGGCTGGGCGGGCTCAGCACAGACCTGTGCCCAAGCCAGGAATGGAACGTGGTGGTATCAGATCCCTTTACCTTAATGGTTTTTGATTGGAGCCTCAGGCCATTCAGCGTGTTGATTGCTCTCTCTGCATCCTTTGCAGTCACGTAGTTGACAAAGCCATAGCCCAAGCTGTGTCCTGTGCGGAAGAACACAAGGACATTGTTAAGTTAACTGCCTGTGAGTGAGAGGTACAGGGAGGTCAGGCAGCAGCACTGTATCTGCCCATATCTGGAAAACGGAATTATAGGCGCTAGCAAGCTTTCTTACTTTCTTTGGCAAACAAGTACATTTTCTGGAATGAACACAGGTTACTTTTTTTTTTTTTTAAGAGACAGGATCTTGCTCTGTCACCCAGAGTGGAGTGTAGTGCTGAGATCACAGCTCACTGCCACTTTAAATTCTTGGCCTCAAGAGAGCCTCCCACCTCAGCCTCCAGAGTATCTGGGACTACAGGCCCACTCTACCAGGCCCAGCTAATTTTAAAAATTATCTGTAGAGATGGGGTCTCTCTATGTTGCCCAGGCTGGTCTAAAACTCCTGGGCTCAAGCAATCCTCCCGCCTTGGCCTCCCAAAGTGTTGGGATTACAGGTGTGAGCCACTGCACCTGGCCAAGGTTTTATTTTTGTAATTAAAAAAGCCCTAAAAGTGATTTAAAAAGGAATATTTAAAAAAAAAAAAAAAAAAAAAAAACTGCTATGGATGACATCTTTCTGAATGACCGGTCCCGTGGGTGCCAGCTGCTCTGTGGGGTCTGGGTGGTGAGGATGAGGAAGGTCATGGCGGTGGACAGGCTGGTGGACCCCAGTCTGTGTCGCTGTTGCTTTGCCGCTTCCTTCTCAGCAGGAGGGCCTGCTGGCACCACCCAACACCAGTTCCATTTACCTCCCCAAGCCTGAGACCTGCCCGAACCCGCTGTGGGGCAGAAGAGGATGGGGAGCCCAAGGAGAAGCCAGGGGCTGAGAACCCCCAGCCTCACAGGGCAGGCCCTGCCCTGGCATCATAGCCCTGGCCGTCTCCCGAGCTTCTCTCGGCAGTGGGGGAGAAAAAGGGTCACAGGCAGGTGTCCCCCGCACCCCTGCTATGAAACACTCTGCACAGGTACAAGTGAACACCCACTCACTGGATGCCGCAGGAGGGAATCAGGATGGTGAGGGCAGGACCAGAGGGGACAGCCACTGGGGTGGGGGTTCAGAAGGAGGTTCATAGAACATCTGGCCAAACGCTTTCACTAAAGGAGAAGTGAGGAGGTTCAGGGAAGAGCGCAATCCCTGTCCTCCCCGCCAGCTTATCCACTCAGTCGCAAGGCTGGTGAGCACCAGCTGTGGGTGGCCAGCCTGGCAGGCCTCACCCAGCACTGCTCCATCCCCCCAGCCGGCAGAGGGTGACAATGAGCAGATCGCTGAACAGAAGGAGGCCTGGAACCCCACTGAGGCAGAAGGCCATCCACAAGACTGGCTCTGAGTTATTTTTTAACAGTTTTATGATATGCTTGGGTAGGCTTATAACTTTGCTCCTCCAAACAATACTTTTCTTTAGAAAACAAGCCCTGTGGAGAGTTCCTTCCATCAAGTCGCTTCAGCTTAACCTATTTCTAGAGGACTAGTACATGCAGAATTGGCAACTACAGGAGATGCAAAGTTCAAAAAGCAGATCCTACAAGATGTAACAAATACTTTTCTTCTAAACATCAAGGTATAGCTCAGGCACACTTTGATAATAACAAGATCTGGTCTACTAAGGAATCCAGCATGATAGCTGAACACTTTAGACCACAAAGTTAACATACGTCTTACAACACGTTACCCTCCTGGCAGCTGGGCCAGGGGCATCCAGACCCCTCTCACTGATAGCAAGATTACAAATCCGCCAGAGAGCCTAACCCAGGTTTGTTACTTTCTTTTCCCTCATTTTATTAATTTATTTTTTGCCACTTTCTTTTTAAAATAAATTTTTCAGAACAGTTTTAGGTTTACAGAAAAATTACAGGGATAATACCAAGTTCCCTTACAGCCCCTCCCAGTTTCCTCTATTGGTACCACCGCCCGTGAGTATGGAGTGCTGATGACAATGAATGTTTCCATTAACTTCGGTCCACGCCCCATCCACTTCCTTAGTCTTTCCCTCATGTTCTTTTCTGCCCTGGGATCTCATTCAGGATCCCACATGACATTAATAGTCAGGTCTCCTCAGGCCCCTCTGGACCGTTGACAGTTTCTTGTTTCTCGTGACCCTGACAGTTTTGAGGACTGGTGAAATATTCTGTAGACTCTCGATGGGGTTTGATGGAGTCTCTGTCATGGCTGGAGTGGGGCTGTGGAAGAACATGGGTGGAGTGCCCTTCTTGTCATACCATGTCAAAGGCACAGGCCACTGATATGACTTATTGCTGCTGTCGCTGACCCTGATCAACTGGGCTGAGGTGGGCAGTGTGCCGGTTTTTTGGGCTATAAAGTGACTCCCACCCCTTTCCACTCTGCCCTCTGGAGAAGGAAGTCAGGACACACAGCCCATGATTAAGGAACTGCTCGGAAGAATTCTGCTCCCCCTCTGCAGGATGCAGCAGCTACAGAAATGACGTGCCGTTAGCTCTGCACAGGCCACTCTTTCCTAAAGAACTAAATCACACTTGGATCCTCTAGACCCATATTTGTAATAAAACTACATGGGGCTGAGAGACTCAGCTATGGGGCCCTGGACAAAGTGAGAACTTGGAGCAGCAAGATGGCAGGACCAGGTCCGTGTGGAGTGAGTTGGGATAGCAGCTCAGAGAACAAGCAACAGAGCAGCACAGCCAGGTCAGGACGGCCAGGGCCTCTGCACGCGCTCCAGACGGCAGTGTGAAACCAGACCACAGAACGTCTGTGATATGGATTCCTGACCATGACGCCAGCCTGGCTGGGTTTTTTTCCTTCCCAAACACCTGCTCTCCTACTGCTCAGTGCCATCTGCATTCGGGTCCCATCTTTCTGCTCCATCCAGAAGCCTGGACCACCTGCCTCCTTGGCTGTGGCGTGCTCAGATGGACTAAGTGTGGCTTGAGAAAGTCACACACCGGTAAGGACTCAAGCCCCAAGCCCTGGTCCTGTGTCCTCAGCCACAGCTGGCTCCTCTCAGCACATAAACACGGGCCCTCCCTGGCCCAAGTCCCTTCTTCCTCATCTCCCAGGTGTTGGGTAGTCCTGGCTGATCCCCTAGGATGGTCACTGCCCTGGGGACCGTTTCAGGATGTGTCCCCTGAGCTTTTGGCAGCTTGGGGTAGGGCCCACCCTCTTGGGATGCCCCTTCTCTGGGATGTGGAAACCACACCAGATTTCCATCTCCCTGACTGTCTCTGCTCAGGCTCCTCATCCCCTGTCTATTCCATGGAGACCCACAGGCACCAAGGATCCACCTTTGGCCCTGTCTCTGCCATATGCTCTTCCTCACCACACACGTGCCCAGGCCTGCCAACATCACTGAGGGAGTTACATACCCTTGGGCAGCCCCAGTTGCCTTGCCTGGTAAAGCTCCTCCTCTGTCTTCAAGGAGCTGACACATTAACTGAACACCTACTACGTGTCAGGTCCTGTGCTCGGCTAGGGGTTAGTGATGCATGACAGAGGACGGTTGCTGCCATCATGAAAGCTGTCACATCCCTGTGGGCAAGTCAGACAACACGGTGGAGAGAAACTGACAAGCGTTAGATGGGGGACAGGAGGGCCCGTGGCAGAGGAGATATTTGAAACAAAACCTGTGTGTGGCTGGCGTGAACAGTCCAGACAGAAAAGCAGGTGCCAAGTCTCTGAGGCGGAGATGATGCCAGTGTATTCCCAGAAAGAGGTGGCTTGTATGGCAAGAGGCCTGGGAAGTGGCCCCTGGCAGCAGGGCAGAGCCAGTGTGGGGCCAGCGGGCTGGTGATCTAATCCAGATAGGAGATTTGGGCTCTGTGCACAGGCCAGAGCAGCAAAGGAACACCCTACCCAGAGGACTGCACCTGGGGTAGTGGGGAATGGTTCCTGACTTCCCTACAGGATGGACCTTGTGGGTCAAGGCCTGGCTTCATCTCCTAAGTCTGCTCTCCTTTCTGTGGTGGGTGCCTGGAGGCAGTCGGAGGGGAGGCAGTTAAGGGACAAAGATGCCCTGGTTTCCACCCACTGGGTGAGGCCATCAACTGGAAGGGCTTCGTCCAGCACCTGACCGCCCACTTCCACCCTTGCCTCCAATACAAACCAGCCTGGGCAGCTTTTTAAGCCACCACTGACTGCTCAGGCCACGCACCCAACCAATGAAGTCAGAAAAGGAGAGGGGGTTGCCAGCTGGCCTCAGTGGTTTTAAGACAGGGTCTCAGTCCGTTGCTAAGGCTGGAGTGCAGTGGCACGAGCTTGGCTCACTGTAACCTCTGCCTCCTAGGCTCAAACAACCCTCTTACTTCAGCCCCCCACCAAGTAACTAGAACTACAGGACCTCACCACCATGCCTGGCTAATTTTTCTATTTTTTTTTGTAGAGATGGGGTTTTGCCATGTTGCCCAGGCTGGTCTCAAACTCCTGAGCTCAAGCAATCCTCCCACCTCAGCCTCCCAAAGTGTTAGGATTACAGGCATGAGCTACCGTGCCCGGCCTCCTCAGTGGTTTTTTTGTGGGAGGAGATGGCCAGAGGCAGACCTGTGTTACTTACAGTTAAACGATTACAAGCTTTTAAAAGTTTTTAAAGCTCCCTGGCAATTCCAATGCATGGGGAGCATAGGGCTTTCCACGGTTATGCAGAGGAGAGGCGGCCTCCAGAGGAGAAGTGGAAGTGGCCCCCAAGTTAGTTTCTCCATTCAGAGTCCACAAGCCACCTGCACCAGGGGCATCTGGAGTTCAGGGCAACAACTTAGCTCCCTAGGTGCCTCCCATCCCAGTCCAGGACCCAGGATGTCCGGCAGGCATGGAATTCACATCTCCAAACTCCTTAAGGATGCTCCTCCTGCCCACTAGCAGCAGAGCCTGTCAGAGCCCCTGTCTGGAGATGGGAGATCAGCACCGAGACAGGAGGCCTGAGGGCTTGTGAGGGAGCAGGAGGACAGGGGCCTGCCTGGTGTCAGTGCTGGGGGGCAAAAGGGGACCCTGGGATGGGAGGTGGAAGAGGCTGGGAAGCAGGAAGGAGGGACTGGC